CCACAGACCTCCATGGGAACAAGAAGGACGCCGGAGCAAGCTGGACCCTGCCCGGGGTCACGGAAGCCAGCGTCCACGAAGGCCGCGCGACACTCGGCTCCCACTTCACGCCGCTGCCCCGGGAAGGAGCTCTGTTAACGGGCGCCGCGGTTCTGGGTCGAGCGGCTGTTCTAGGGGCTGCGTCTTTTTGTTCAGAGGGTCCTGCGTCCTAGGACTCCTCCATCTAACCCGGAGCCGAGCCGTGCGGCTGCGGCCCCGTGACCGACACGCCAGGGCGCTCAAGGCCTGGATGGCGTCGCAAACCCCACAGTCATGGTAACCCGACTCACACAGAACACCGTTCCTTCAGTGCTCGTCGCCAACTCACCTCCCGGAGCCGACAGCCACAAGCGAGCCGGAAGGGAGTGCCGCGCGGAGGCTTCTGGAAAATGTAGTCCGCGGCCGGAAGGGGCCGGTTCCGTCCGGCCACCGGCTGCGCAGACTGTGCCGGAGCGCGCCTGAGTGCGCAGGCGCGTGAGCGTGGGTTTGCTCGGGAAGGGCTTGCAGCTGCAAATCCTCCACGGAGGCATTTTCCTCTCAAACTCTGGGGAAAAAGTCCTACCAAATTGAAAGTGAAGTCGTGCAGCCGGCGCGCTGTGGCAGGTGTTTAGCACACGTGGCCCGCGAGGTGTGAGTGTACACTCAAATCCCCCCAGAGCTCCAGCCGAGCCTGGAGCGGTACTTAGTCTCACAGAAAAGTTGCACGTTCCCCCTTTGTCGCTCTCTGCTGTCCCCTTTTCCTGCTTTAAGCCCTTTGTCCTGCAGTTGTGAATGCAGTTTTCTGTATACATATCTATGAGGTTAAGGTGGTTGACGTTCCCACTGGGCGTCCTCTATCTTTCCTCACTTAAAATTCTTTTTTTCTTTAACGAACTGAGAGGTGTCTGGCTCTCCTCAGCCTATACTGTCCGTGGCTGTGAAGTCTTCGTGGTGAAGAATGTTGAGAGGTGACCACTGGGATATCTTGAGGGGCCCTTCGCTCATGAGTTGCTGCTGAGTTTGTCTTCTTCCGGACTTCTGGAAAGAATCAGAAGCCAGCTGCAGGATGCACACTCCCCATTATCTAATATCTATTGGTTAATAGATTTTCATTTTTCCTTAAACGTCAATAGATATTGCAAGATGTGTAGCTGAATTGTAAGACTCATTTTGTAAATAAGGGATTATATATGAAGTTGGAAATAAAGAAACAGACTTGCAGCTTAGTCAAAATATTTTTTTAAATTGAAAGTCCTATTTACATAATTTCTGATTACATTTACTGAAGAAAGGCAAGCATTTGGCGTAGGCATTGGCTGCAATCCTTCTTTCAGCTTCCGGCTAATACACGCACTAAGAGACAATGGTGTTAGCTGGAGTGGTTAGGTCCTTTGCCACCTACAAGGATACCTGAAATGAGTTCCTGGGACCTGACTGCAACATGGCCCAGCCCCAGCTGTGGTGCACATTTGGAAAGGGAACCAGCAGTTGGAAAAACTGTCTTCCTCTCTCTGCCTTTTGCTCAAATAAATAAGTTTTTTAAAAATATTCAGCACATTTGGTTTTCCAAACAACTTATCATTCAATACTTGACTTTGATTTTTTAAGATTTATTTTATTGTTATTGCAAAGTCAGATATACAGAGAGGAGGAGGGACAGAGAGGAAGATCTTCCATCCAGTAATTCACTCCCCAAGTAACCACAACGGCCGGTGCTGCGCCTATCCTGAAGTCAAGAATTTGACTTTAGGACTTGGGTGAATAGAGCTCCTGGCAGCATGGTGGCTGCTGGTGGTACATGAGGCGAAGTTAATGCGTAGGACTCTAGCCCCAGCAACCACTACTAAGCCAGCCAGAGTGCCAACCAATGCCCACTGGCTCCCTGGCAGCAGGTTCTGGGGTCTTGGTGGTACAGAATTACTGCCTGGGGACATCTGTGGATAAGGTCACTGTGCATGTCAGTGAGGAATAAATCCTGAGGGACACAGGGACCGAGAATAGTCTGGGCAGGTCCAGGCTGCAGCGCCCATATGTGCATCCAGATCTCCCACACGGGTGCAGGGTCCCAAGGCTTTGGACTGTCCTCAACTGCTTCCCAAGGCCACAAGCAGGGAGCTGGATGGGAAGCAGGGAGTTGGATGGGATTAGATCTGGCACTCATGGAATTCTGGTGCGTTCAAGGTGAGGACTTTAGCTGCTAGGCCATTGTGCCGGGTCCAGTAGTCATTAATTCTTTAGGAAAAGGATACTTCATGGGAGGTGTCCAGAATATCCATTGCAACAGTACATGGTGGGGCAGGTGTAGTGTAATGGGTTAAGATGCTGTCTTCAATGATGGCATCCCATATGGGCAACAGTTCAAGTTCCAGCCGCTGCACTTCTGATCCAGCTCCCTGCTAATGCTCCCTGAAAACCAATAGATGACAAACTACTTAGGTCCCTTCATCCATGTTGGAGATGCTGAAGATGCTCCTGGCTTCTAGCTTTGGTCTGGTCCAGCTCCAATCTCTATGAACATTTGGGAATGAACCACTTGATAGAAGATTCTTGTCTCTTATTCTTTCTCCCCACCCCTGCCTGTAGGTCTTTTTTGCATGTGCAGTTTGGCTAATTTAGTCATTCAGAGTAGTTCTGCCCCACCCATGATGATTTCCTATCAATCTTCCACTTATGGTTTTGATATACATTCATATCACCATCAAAGTATATTTCACATTTAAAAAATAAACACAAACTTCAAATTCTGTCAGCCCTTAAACTTTTATGGGCAAATTCTCTAATTGATAATACTTTCTTCCATTTTTCATTGTTTTCAAAGATTTTTATTTGAAAGGCAGATTTACAGATAGAAGACACAAAGGGCCATCTTTCCTCTGCTTTCCTGGACCAAAAGTGGAGAGCTGGATTACAAGTGTAGCAGAACATGAACTGATGCCCATATGGGAATCTTCCAGCAGGTGGAAGATTAGCCTATTGAGCAACAGTGCTTACCCCTCCCCTCCCATTTTTCATTGTTTCAAAAAGAAAACCAAGATGTTACATCTTTCTTTGCATTTGTCAAGGAAACACTAGTATATTCCACATCTGATTAATATACTTGCTCAGAGAAAAAGGCTTATAAAAATTATAATGGTAATATATGACACAGCAATTAGATAGGATTTCTTAGTCAAAGATAATTTTGATTTCAAAGCCACAATGATCAATAAGGGAGTGGTATATTGTGGCATAATGGGTAAAGACCCCCCATTGGGATGCCCATATTCCATACTAGACTCCTACGATTTGAGTCCTGCCACCAGTTCTGTTTTCCCCAAAGAACCTGGGAGGCAGCAGGAAATGGTGTAAAATCTTGAGTTTCTGTCATTCATACGGGAATTCTGGATGCTGGAACTCTTGGCCTCCTAGCCATGGTTTGTTGCAGACATTTGGGAAATTAATCAGCATGTAAGTGTTCTCTCAACCTTTCTTTTTTATTCTGCCTTTCAAATAAAAAAACTTAGACAGCAGAGTATTTGTTTTTATGAGCTGAAGATATTTCTCACCACTAAATTTTAACAATAAGTAATCTGAAGTTCAGTAAGATAAATCTTGGTGGGAAGCATTTCTATTGCCACCATGAATAATACTGGAGTGGGTGTTGTGGTACAGCAGCTTCAACTTGGGATGCCTCCATCTCATACCACAGTGACAGAGTCTTTATCACTCTGCTTCTGATGTGCCTGAGAAGCAGCAGATTCTCAAAGTACTCGAGGCCCTGCCACCCACATACGAGATCTGCAGAGTTCCTCTGCGCTCCGGGCTTCAGTGTGGCCCAATCATGGCTACTGTGCACATTTGAAGGGTGAACCAACAAATGGAAGATATATCTCTCCCTGTCACTCTGCCTTCCAAATAATCAATTTTTAAAAACAGTAATATCAAAGATAATCATACAAACAATACTTAGTGGCTTAAAACAATAATCATTTTATTTTCTCATTTTGTGGGTCAAGAACTTGATCAAATCTACTGCTGTAAATGGTCACTTAGTGGTCAGTAAGTGACCTTCAGCTGGTGCCTGATGTGGAGGACCCAAACTTATTTCAGCTAACAGTCCATTGTTTGAGTGGGTATGTCTGAAGACTGGGTTCAACAGGATGCCTCTTGCTATGTAGTCTCAGCTCTTCATGATATATCTTCAGCAAAGTAGCCAGACTTTCTAACATGAAAATTCAGGGCTTGAGATGAAGTAACCTTACTGGTAAAGCATGGGTCCAGAAACCAGCACAGCAGTACTTCTATTATAATCTGCTGCACAAAGCAGTTGCAGAGTGTTCCTATATTCAAGGGTAAGAATGTAGATTTCACATCTTGATGAAAAGAGTCTAATAGTAGTTGCAGCATATTTACCACAGTTTTATAATATCACTTTCTAAGTGAAGAAATTATAGCACACAATTAAGTGACTTATTCAATATAACACAGTGGAAAAGTACTGGCATAGAGATTATGGTGTATTTTCCACATTTATTTTTATTGGAAAGGCAGATGTATAGACAGGAGGAAAGACAGAGAGGAAGATCTGTTCACTGGTCATTTTTCAAATGGCCTCAACAATTGGAACTGAGCCAATCTGAAGCCAGGAGCCAGCAATTTCTTCTGGGACTCCCATGTGGGTGCAGGGTCCCAAAGCTTTGGACCATCCTCTACTGCTTTCCAAGGTCACAAGCAGGAAGTTGGATGGGAAGTGAAGCAGCCGGGACACAAACCGGTGCCAAGATAGAATCTCAGTGCATGCAAGGGAAGGGCTTCTAAAACCAATATAGTAAAGTTTCAGGTTTGAGTTAAGTAGAATGCATTAAAGTTAGACGTTCCTTTTGTAGTACAAAATCTCTTATGCTGAGTCAGTTGTATAATGCAAAACAGGTTACTATACCCACAGGATATTCTATAACATAGGTCTGAAAAGAATTACATTTTTAGATTATGAATCCTCAGGTGATTGGTGAGGTGTGAATGTTGTCTAAAGGCCTTTTTACATTCCTTACATTCATAGGGTTTCTCACCTGAATGAATTCTCAAATGCTGAGTTAGGGAAGAATTAAGTCTAAAGGTCTTCCTACATTCCTTACACTCAAAAGGTTTCTCCCCAGTATGAATACTCTGGTGCAGAGTAAGTTTTTGGCGCAATCTAAAGGCCTTCCCGCATTCCTTACATTTGTAAGGTTTCTCACCAATATGAATGCTCTGATGTTGGGAAAGCTGTGACAGCAGCCTAAAGGCCTTCCCACATTCCTTACAGTCATAAGGTTTAATACCAATATGAATGCTCTGATGTGATATAAGTTGTGAGTAACGACTAAAGGCCTTCCAGCATTCCTTACATTCATAAGGTTTCTCCCCAGTATGAATTCTATGATGAAGAATAAGATGATAGCCACGGCTGAAGGTCTTCCCACACTCCTTGCACTCATAGGGTTTCTCACCCGTGTGGATCCTCTGATGCAGTGTTAGTTGTTGTCTCACTCTAAAAGCCTTCCCACAATATGTACATTCATAGGGTTTCTCACCAGTATGTAGTTTGTAATGCACTCGAAGACCAGGGCCACACAGAAAGTCCTTCCCACATTCTTTGCATTCATAGAGTCTGTCAGCAATATTAAGCTTTTGGTGTCGAGTAAGATGTGCATATTGTCTGAAGGCCTTCCCACATTCTTTACATATATAGGGTTTCTCACCAGTATGAATCCTCTGATGGAGAGTGAGTTGTCCTCGTACTCTAAAAGCCTTCCCACATTCATCACACTCATAGCGCTTCTCACTAAGATGAATTTTCTGATGAACTCTCAGGTCTGTACCACATACGAAAGCCTCTCCACATTCCTTACATTCAAAGAGCTTGTCACTAGAATGCAGTCTCCGATGGCGAGTTAAGTGCGCAGTCTGTCTAAAGGACATCCCACACTCCTTACATTTAAAGGGTTTCTCACCAGTATGAATTCTTTCATGAAAAGTAAGTTGTTGGCGTACTCTAAAACCCTTCCCACATTCTATACATTCATAGGGTTTTTCCACAAAGTGAACTCTCTCAGGCGCAGCAGCAGATGTACGATCTGGGGGAGATGATATGTTTTCAGATGTGGTGTTCATTTGATATCCCACTTGAGATCCCTCGTGTCCTTCAAACTTTCTTTTTGACTCCCAGTCATTTTCTGAAACAATGCTCTCAATGCCGTGGTTTGTAATTCTGTCCATTATCTTCCACTGGGTTAAGTTTATTTCATAAACACCACTTTCTGATGATAATTTCTTGGTCTCATACTTGGTCTCCAACTCTAAAATAAAACAAGAAAGCAAACACATGCTGTTTTCTGTAACTACAAGGAGAATGTCTACAGTGAAAACAAAACATCAAGTAAAATACTAAAATATGGAGCCTGGCATGGTAGCCTAGCTGCTAAAGTCCTCGCCTTATAGACACCAGGATCCCATATGGGCGCCAGTTCTAATCCAGGCGGCCCTGCTTATTGCCTGGGAAAGCAGTTGAGGATGGCCCAAAACCTTGGGACCCTGCACCTGCCTGGGAAATAAACAAATTTAAAAATATATAATAAAAATCAAATAAAATATTAAAATATACTTATTCAATTTGAGGGGAGAAAAGCTAAAGGGAATACTAGAAAATGAGAGTTTATATTAGAAAGTGAGATTAGTTTTTTTTAAAGATATATTTATTTTTATTGCAAAGTCAGATATACAAAAAGGAGGAGATACAGAAATGAAGATCATCCATCTGATAATCCACTCCCCAAGTGACTGCAACGATCGGTGCTGAGACGATCCAAAGCCAGGAGATAGGGAATTCCTCCAGGTCTCCCACACGGGTGCAGGGTCCCAAGGCTTTGGGCTGTCCTCAACTCTTTTCCCAGGCCACAAGCAGGCAGCTGGATGGAAAGTGAAGCTGCTGGGATTAGAACTGGTGCCCACATGGGATCCCGGCGCATTCAGGTGAGGACTTCAGCTGCTAGACCACAGTGCTGGGCCCAAGATTAGTGTTAAGAATATATTTTTAAGTCAGTGGTTCTCAAATTGATAACCAGAATCACTGAGACGATGATTAATAAACACCACCCAAACCACATTATTTCTGTCTCTCCAAACTTTTCACAGAGGTAGCATGGTGCAGCAGCTTAAACTAAACCCCCAATCCTGGCAAATTACATCGAAGCGCCAATTCAAATCCTGGCTGCTCTAATTCTTATCTGGCTTTCCGAGAATGCACCTGGGAAAGCCGTGGATGATGGCTCAAGCTCTTGGGTCTCTGCCGTGCACATGGAAGACCTGATGGGTGCTGGGCTGGGCTTGGCCCAGACTAGCCCAGATCACTGCAGCCATTTAGGGAGGGAATTAATAGATAGAAGATCTCCCTCTCTATCTCTCTCCCTGTAACCCTCGTGACCAAATAAATAAAATACATCCTATAAAAAAGAAGACTTTTCATAGAAAATAAAACTTGCACAAGTTCCCTGATTAATCTCTTATTCTGAGGTATAATAGCAAATATGCAAAATAATGGATTTCATTTGAGACTGACTCAACTGACAGTATGTGAATTTACGTTGTTATTCTTTATAATTTTCAAATTTTTTTAAAGAATTATTTTTATTGGAAAGGCAGATTTACAGAAAGGAGAGACAGAGAGAAAGATTTTCCATCTGTTCGTTCACTCCCCAAATGGCCGCAATGGCCGGAGCTGAGCTGATCTGAAGCCAGGAGACAGGAGATCTTCAGTGGGCACAAGGCTCCAAGGTTTTGGGACCTCCTTGACTGTTTGCCCAGTCTGTAAACAGAGAGCTGCATGGGAAGTAGAGCAGCACGGATATGAACAGGCACCCATATGGGATCCCAGCATATCCAACACGAGGACTGTAGCCACTAGGCTACTGTACCAGGCCCTCATTATTTGAAGTATTAACAATTTACTTACCTGAAGTCATCTGAGAAATGAACCAGTAGCTGGGAGATCTCTTTCTTTCTCACCCCAACTCCCTCTAACTCAAATAGTTACAATACATGAGAAAAGCAGTCTCTCTGATCATAATTGAATCCCAAATCAGTTTCATATCCATTTTCTCTGCTTTTCTTCACAGCAATGTCCTATTGCCTGAATCATAATTTTATTTATTTACAGCTACCATGTTCCTCTTAATACAAAGCAACTTCTCTGGGAATTGGGGACTTGGCAGTCTTTGCTTACCACTGTAATGATTTTATCCATAACAGTGCATGACATATAGATATTTATCTACGCAAAAGAGGAGCACAATGAAATGAAAATGTACAATGATTTCTGTGTGTCATCCTTGTGCAGGGGACATGCTAATCTTCTTTGTAGCGTTCCAATTTTAGTATATGTGCTGCCGAAGCGAGCATGAAAATGTACAATGATTTTTAACAATGAACAAAGATAGTTGCTCCCACCCTTAGTCCTTTCAAAGAAGAGAAAAATTGGAGAGAATAAAAAATGAGTTAATGGACTAGCACTTTGTGTTTTAAAAGGGTAATAGGGGATGAGCTGGCTGAGTGGTTAAGGCAATGGACTGCTACAGGGTATACATGGGCTAGTTTTTTCTATTACCTAGTAAATAAGATATTAATTTGCCCTCCAAAACTCAGATTTTTTTTACCCATCAGTAATGGATGTTTAAAGAGTTTTTAAACAACACCCCAAGGGTATGCCTCTTTTCCCACTGTTTGTATTCTGTGTTGTAGTGATGGCCTCTCCTGCCTGGTTGGCCCTCACTCACCTGCACAGCGCCTCCTGCCTCTCCTCGCAGCCTTCCAGGGCTCTTTTCCTTGCTCCAATAAGGAAATCACATCTGGTTTAGAAACAAAGCATCCTGTGTAGAAGAAAAGAAATTTAACATATTACAAAAATAAAAAAACATTTTCTAAATTACTTTCAGTATTGGTTAAACTTATAACAAACAGGTCAAGTTGGTAATTGATAAAGTGTTTAAAACCAAAGGAAAAATAGCTTTAAAACTATGGACCTTGAGGTTACATAATGAATAAGGACTAGAGAGGGAGGAAAATCAGTATTCGTGTAAGTGTTCCTTCTTCAAAGGCAGCAATGACTGAAAACTGTGTGGTTCAAATACTTCCTGTATTGTGTCTGGCACGGTGGCTTAGCAAGCTGAGCCATATGCTGGCATCCCATATGGGCACTAGTTTTGAATTCTGACTTCTCCATTTCCAATTTAGCTCCCTGCCTAAAGCCTGGGAAAGCAACAAAAGGTGGCTTCAAGTCCTTGGGCCCCTCAACTACATGGCAGATCTAGAAGAAGCTCCTGGCTTCAGATCGATGCGTATTAGCCATTGTGGCCTTTGGGGGAGTGAAATAGCAGATGGAAGATCTCTCTCTGATTCTCCTCCTCTCTGTAAATCTGACTCTCAAAATAAATAAACAAACAAATCTAAGAAGAAAAGATCCTGGGACCAGCACGGTAGCCTAATGGCTAGAGTCCTATCCTTGCACACTCCAGGATCCCGGCAGCTCCACTTCCCATCCAGCTCCATACTTGTGGCATGGGAAAGCAGTTGAGGATGGTCCAAAGCTTTGGGACCCTGCACCTGCGTGGGAGACCCAGAAGAGGCTCCAGGCTCCTGGCTTTGGATCGGCACAGCCCCAGCTATTGTGGCCATTTGGGAAGTGAATCAATGGACAGAAGATCTTCCTCTCTGTCTTTCCTCCTCTCTCTATATATGACTGCAATAAAAATAAATAAATCTTTTAAAAAAAGAGAGAAAATGGAATATACTTAGCAACCACAAGAATGAGTACTCTATTTATTTATTAAAATTTAGTTTATTTTTATTGGAAAGGCAAATTTACAGAGAGAAGAAAATACAGAGAAAAGGATCCTCCATCCACAGGTTTACTCCCCAAGTGACTGCAATGGCCGCCCAGAGCTGAGGCAATCCAAAGTCAGGAGCCAGGAGCTTCTTCCAGGTCTCCCATGAGGGCACAGGGACCCAAGGCTTTGGGATATCCTCCACTGCCTTCCCAGGCCACAAGCAGGGTAGTAGATGGGAAGTTGAGCACCCAGAATACGAACTAGCACTCATATGGAATTTGGACATGTAAGGGAAGGATTTAGCTACTGAGCCACTACACCAGGTCCCTGTTTATTTACTTTAGATTTATTTATTTACTTTAGATTTATTTTTCTGAAAGGTAGAGTTACAGGGAAACAAAGAGGGAGGGAGAGAGAGACCTTCCACCTTCTGGTTCATTACCCACATGGTTGTAACAGCCAGGACAGGGTCATACTGAAGCCAGGAGCTTCATCAGGTTTGTCCATGTGAGTGCACGGGCCCAAGTGACTGGGCCACCTCCTGCTGCTGTCCCAGGTACACCAGCATGAAGCTGGATGAGAGGCAGAGCATCCGAGGCTTGAATTCGTGTCCACATGAGATTCTGTCATTGTAGGGAGCAGCTTAACATACTATGCCACAGGGGGGAGGGCATGGGGAGGAGTTGGGGGAATCCCAGAGCCTATGAAACTGTGTCTTAAAACAAAACAAAACAAAAAATACTATGCCACAATGCCAGCCCAGGAAGCAAGTACTCTTAATTATAACTAATTATAAGTAGAGCCTACTGACCCAATTTAATGCTCTATAAACTATGTGGTTTTTTTTTTTTCAACAGAAAAACCAAGAAACAGAATCTGTTTTCCTTACTACTCTCAACACCTAAATCAACTGTGAGTACAAACAAAAAGAGAAATCCATTTATTTGGAACCTGTAAGGCTATAAAATCAACCTGATTTCCAATCGACTCCTCCAGAAAACCTCAGGGCTATTTAAGGGTGGGGAGGATGGATATATTTAGTGGAGATACTTCCAACAAAATACAACTCAATCCATTCCTTTAGAACATGGAACTGGAGTGGGTCTTTGGTGCAGAGTTTAAGTAGCTGCTTGGCATACCCACATCCCATCGTTAGAGTGTAGGATTTGGGTTCTGCATACTCCTATTCCAATCCAGCTTCCTGCTAATGCACAGCCTAGAGGCAGCAGGCGGTGGCTCAACCTTTGGGTCATTGATAGCCATGTGGGAAGCACAGATGGAGCTCCTGGCTCTTGGCTTCAGCCTGGCCCAGTGCTGGCTGTTGCAGGCATCGCAGGGAACGAAACAACAGAACATCTGTTTCTGACTTTCAAATGCAAATGAAAATATACATGAAAAACAAAACATGAGACAGAAATTGAGTTTTTAAAGAAAAAGACGATGTGGAACAGTCTAAATTACCAGAGGCAGAAACCTTACCCAGGGAGACCAGGTTGCTGTAGTTCTCTAACATCACATCTCTGTACAAATCCTTCTGCTCCAAGTCCAGGAATTCCCACTCTTCCTGAGAGAAGACTATGGATACATCACTGAACATCACCGATTTCTGAAATGATAAAACGTAATTACAACCGAAATGAAGGAAAATTTGCTTCAAAACAGAAAGAAAAGGTAAGAAGGGATATTATAGGCATTGGATTATACGGCACACAGATCCAGGCTGGATGACTCTAATACATCGATGTAAGAGGCCCGGCATGATAGCGTAATGGTTAAAGTCCTCGCCTTGAACGCGCCAGGATCCCATTTGGGCGCCGGTTCTAATCCTGACAGCACCACTTCCTATCCAGCTCCTGCTTCTGTCCTGGGAAAGCAGTGGAAGACAGCCCAAAGCTTTGGGACCCTGCACACCCGTGGGAGACCTGGAAGAGCTCCTGTCTCCTGGCTTTAGATTGGCTCAGCTCCAGCCATTGTGACCGCTTGGGGAGTGAACCATCGGATGGAAGATCTTTCTGGTCTTTCCTCCTCTCTGTACGTCCAACTTTCCAATAAAAATAAATAAATCTTAAAAAAAAATACATTGATGTAAGAAAGCAAAGTGCCTTTGTATGCATGAGGATCCTGCTGTCTCTTAAATGTGGGGTTCACAAAAGCTTGTATTATAAGAAAAAAATGGGTTTCAAAAATTTTTGTACCAAACTACACTTATCTTTAGAATTTCTCTCATATACTATGGGATACCTCAATAATCCAAATCAATCTGGAAAGGAGAAGAAACAGCATTAAAAAAAAAATGTATTTATGTGAAAGGTAGAGCATAGCATAAGAGAAATAGAAAGATCTTTCAGCTGTGAGTTCATTCCCCAAACTGCTGCAAACCCAGAGCTGGGCCAAGCTGAGGGCAGGAGCCTGGAGCTTTATGCAGGTCTCTCATATTGGTGCGGAAGCCCAGGCACCTGAGCCATCTTCTTTTGCTTTCCTGGGCCCTTCAGCATGGAGTCAGATAGGAAGCAGAATAGCCAGGGCTAAAACTAGCATCCATATGGAATGTGGCCATCACAGGTTATGGTAGTTTAACCCACAACTGTGCTGTACTGCTGGGTCCCAGCAGAATTTTATGATTAAATGAAACAGCACACATTAGCTTTCTGCCTACTAAATGTCTCATTCATAAACTCATAAAAATATGAGTCATTCTACCTATGCTTTAGAAAAACAGATTTTTAAGAATCTATTTATTTATTTATTAATTTATTTTTATTGGAAAACCAGATATACAGAGAGGAGAAACAGAGAGGAAGATCTGTCTGTTGACTCACTCCCCAAGTGGCAACAACGGCTAGAGCTGAGCCAATCCGAAGCCAGGAGCCAGGAATCTCTTCCAGGTCTCCCATGCGGGTGCAGCGTCCCAAGGCTTTGGGCCGTCCTTAACCACTTTCCCAGGCCACAGGCAGGGAGCTGGATAGGAAGTGGGACTGCCGGGATTAGAACTGGTGCCCATATGGGATCCTAGCAGTCAAAAACGAGGACTTTTGCCACTAGACCACCACACCCTGAGCCCTAAAAAAAATTTCTTAAAAAGGCTCCCTATAGTGTGCAGTGTGCATGGCACCACCAGAAGACCAGGACAGGCCCAGAACCCAGCACTTACTTCAGAAGTGGTGGCTGTGAATTGTCCTGAGAGGGATTTGAGGATGTGTGGGTGGGTGGGTGAGGACCATTGAGGAAGTACACTACAGATGAAGAATGACAACTTCTGGGGGACTTTGACAGAGTGGGCCACTATAACTGCAGTTAAATGAGGTAGCTGAGAGCAGGTGCTTTGGAGAGGGGGGAAGCTGGCTAGGGCTGGGGGACTTGCCTTGCAGGACAAACCACAGTATCTGCCAGCAAGGGTTGGGGCTGGGGGTGGTCCAAGTTAGGGAGGGCCATGTCACTATTCTGAGGGGAATTCATGGGCTCATCCCTGTGGGATAGTAATACCCGCTAGTTCGCTGAGCTGGGGGTGGTGATGGGAGAAGCTGGCATGCCCAAACCTCATCAACACTCATTGAGAACTGGAATTCAGAGTAGCCT